CACACACACACACACACACACACACACACACACACACACACATATATATATATATATATATATATATATGTGTGTGTGTGCGCGTGTATGTGTGCGTTGTGTGTGTGTGTGTGTTTGTGTGCGTGTGTATGTGTGTATATGTAATATATATATTATACATATACATATACATATACATATACACATACATATAAATATACATATACATATACATATGCACATACATATACAAATACATATACATATGTATATATTTATATATATATATATTTGTATATTTATTTGTGCTCGTTTGGTACCCCACCCATATACTTCTGCGCTATCAGATGCCATACAGAATATGGTATGTATACATGTTATACCTGGTTACTGCAAGAGCTGGCGTCAAACCACTGAACATGGGTGTTTGTCAGTGTTCAGGTAGTTTACACACAGGCATTTGACCGTTTCACACACAATCCCCAACACAATGTGCCTGTCGTAAGTTACATCCTTCTCGCCACGTCTGTGTGGTGTGCATGGTGCTATAGATAAAGCAGACGAGAGGAACCAACTAAGACTGTGGTGACAAATGAAGAATACACAAACGCACTTGTACAAGCCCGATCTTTGTTGCCATTGCATACGATCGCGTTCACCACCACATCACTCCTATGCGATGGACATGCGGTTACGCTTACCCCTACATCACTTGTGCGTGGTTTACGGACCATTTGTAGCGGGTAAGGGAGACGGGGGCAAAACACCGGAGATTGTGGTGGCTAGTGGGCGCCTGTTGTTCAAGAAGTTCCGCACAGCCGAGATCCAAGACCTCATTGACTTTGTGAAAGTACAACTCACCGGCAGCGGCATCACGTCGTATGTATAGGGGAGGCGTTAGATTGTATGTATGTGCGGGCGTGTAGGAGTGTCTGTGTATGTGTCTGTGTACGTTTTTGAGTATGTGTATGTGTATGCGTATGTGTAGGAGTGTCTGTGTATGTGTATGTGTAAGAGTGTCTGTGTATGTGTATATATCTGTGTATATGTCTGTAAATGTATGTGTGTGTATGTATATGTGTATGTGTATGTGTTTGTGCGTATATAAGAGTGTCTCTGTGTATGCATATCTTTATGTGTCCGTGTATGTGCTTGTGAGTTTGTATGTGTGTGTAAGAGGGTATGTGCAATGTATTACTATGATGCAACGAATAGGATATTTGTGTGTATGTTTATATGTTTCCGTTCCTGTATTGTGTCACACCGTTATGTTGTTGACAGTGCCTATATCGGTTTTCTTATACAATCTTCAGTCGGTAAAAACCCTGAACCCTTTATCGATGTGTGCTATATGTGGATGCGCATCAACTTGTAGATACTCGTACGTACACAACGGGTCATGTGTATATGTGCTATCTATGGGTGGTTAGTTAACACGTCTAAAGATAGTTGACATGTGGGGTTATACATGATTAGCTGGATATATATATATATATATATATATACGTATATGTATATAAATATATATACCCATTGGAAGCTAGGTTGCATAGTGATTAACCAGAAAGTCAATATCGAAGACTCATCAGCATACTATTCACAAAATACTATAGACAACTCTTACGCTCATACGCAACGTGTACCTTACTTTCCCTTAAACTCCACCCATATACCTACTCACCTATGCCTACCTAAATTGTCACCGTACCCGGAGGGGGTACGTACACACCTTTCGAATCACTCGAATATAGCACAACAGCAACCAGCGAAGCTCAATACTCTCCACAAACCAACCCCACAACCAACACACTACGTATATACTCATATATACCCTCACCGTGTCGTTCGTCACCTAAAGCCCCCTGTCCATGCCTACCTACCCATGCCTACCCACAGGGTCTCTGTGACCGGCGGGGGTGCGTACAAGTACCTAGAGTTGTTGGAGTCCAAGTTGAACATCAAAGTGGAGCAGGAGGATGAGATGTTATGTGCTGTGGAGGGTTGTAACTTTCTACTGCGCACTATACCCGGCGAGGCATTCACGTACAATACGGATTCAGAGCCCCCGTATACGTTTATGAACCCCATCCCGCCCTCGTCTTTGTATCCGTACTTGCTGGTCAATATAGGATCTGGGGTATGACGGTTGTCGTTACGGTAGTTGTGGTTGTAGTTGTGGTTGTAATGTTTGTAGTTGTACGTCTGAAATTACACATGTTCCACACTCAGGCCAAGTATACCATCTCGACACCCCCCCCCCCCACCCAGGGGGGCTGGGACAACACCTCAAATACCCTGAAATTGGACCTGTTCGCACCCAAGTTAACACAATCAGGACCGTATTTGTGCCATATCTACCCAAATTCTTGGTCTGAACACACCCAGAAGTCGGGTTCTAGTCCACACAACTCTGTTTGCCACCAAGACTAGCATACAATATACCGTACCTTTAACTGTCTCATGTTTTGCACCCGGCTTAACACAAATCAGGATCGCATTTGGACCATATCTACTCAATTCTCAGTCCGAAATACACACCCAGATATCGTTCTGTACACACAACTCTAATTGCCACCCAGACTAGCATACGATATACCGTACTTATTCCTGTCTCATGTTCTGCACCCAGGTCAGCATGATTAAGATTTCTGGCCCACAAGAGTACGAACGAATTGGTGGTACTTGTTTAGGGGGTGGCACCTTTTGGGGACTATGCTCACTTCTAACCCATGCCAGAGACTTTGATGAGGTGCGTGTGTGATATATGTGAATACAGATGACAGTGGAATTGAACATTGTTCATATATAGATATATATATATATACACATACATATTATATATATATATATATATATATATACAAATATATGTGTATGCGTGTGTGTGTGTGTATGTATATGTATATTTACAAGTATGCTGTATATATGTATGTATGTATATATATGTGTATGTATATATATACATATATGTAGTTAAATATTAATATTATTTATCTGTATGTGTGTAGGTATGTAGGTATATATATATATATATATATATATATATATATATATATATATATATATATATATATATATATATA